TAGTTTCAATTTTTGAAACTAATAAATAATTCTAATAATAGAATTAAAAATATAATATAATTCCTAATCTCAATCTTAATACAAATCTAGAGTTAATACTATTAAGTAAAATTTTTAACTCCTCTTTTAATTATCAATAAACATTAATAATCTAAAAATTAACTTCTAAACTAATTTCTATTATCAAAATTTTCTTTTTATTTCATAAATTCATACCTAAAATATTCAAAAATTAAAAATTGAGTCTCTAGCTTAGAATCATAATCCTATAGCCATAATAATTCATTTCTCATCCCAAATAATCATTTAAACCTCAATAAATCAACATATATTTTCAGATCTAGTTTAGAATTTGATCCATAAGCCACAAATTTAAAGATCATCAACAAATTTATACTCTAAAACATTTATTATACTACTGACAACCTCAAAAACTATATTTATTCAACATAAATTCATCCCTCTTCTAGATCTTAAATTTTCTACCACTACAAACTCAGAAACTAAAGAAGAAGGATGACTAAGAAACATTTTTAGAACACTTACTTAGTCTTAAAAAGCTTAAAATTATACCCTAAATATCCTATTAAAAACTCTTACCTTAAAAATTTAGATATTTTGCACCGAGGAATCGCGTTCTCTCCGCCTCAGCTCGCGCACAGGAAAAGAATTTAAGAAACAAAAGGAAATGGATGAGTTTTTATAAAAATTCAGTGGGTCCCATATTTTTTTTATTATTTCTTCTTTCCTCTCTCTCCCTTTTTTTATTATTATTATATATACGTAATGATTGAAGCACGCGGCGCCGAAAGCAAACTCCTTCTTCTTCTTCTTCTTCCCTTTTTTTTTTATTCACACCTTTTCTCTTTTTTTTATAATAATAATAATTTAATAATATTTTTAATTAATTAATTAATAATTTTTTTAAAAAAATTTTAATTTAGAATTATATCCTAAGTTAGATTTAATAATTATTTTCTACTAATTTGCTTACCTCTAAATATTTTTCAAAATTTCTATTAATCAAAATTAACTATTAAAATTTAAATTGGGATGTTACATATATGGAAGAGGTTGGGAGGTAGAATTATGATTACTCCACATCTATTTGTCAGAAATAAATGTATAGGAGTTTTTTTTAGCCTAAATATAATTAATAAACAACTACTCACCGTTCCTTATTAGATTAGCATAATTAAACTCGCTTCATTAAAATACGCAGCCACTATATCAAACAATTCATAAGGGCATTTTAGAAAAGAAAAATAAAGAAAAAATTATGTTAGGTTTTGTGAAAACAACTTATTTAAAATTAAATTCCGTGAAATTCAAAAATCATAGATAGGTCTTTTAAGACCTGAGTATAATTTAAAAGTAGGGTAAAAAGACAATATTATCCTCACTTATTAGGTTACAATGACAAAAATGTCCCTCTACCTAAATTAAATAGTAAGCTCACTGTCTTCATTAGTCCACCGCATAACCGCTCGCTTTGCATTGCTCTACCATTTACATTCTTCTCTTCATCAATCCACATATTATATTGCTCGCTCTCTTCTTGGAATTGTATGTTAAGGAAAAATTCATGATCTATCATCATCATCATCATCACGATCAATTGTGATCGATTTACTCTTATACTTGCTTTACATGCTAAAGGCTTTATCTGAATCAACTAGTAATATTTAATCATTCAATTTAAGTTTCATTGTTTTAAGTTTCATTGTCCAGTATTTAGACTTCTCACAAAAGTCACTACATACATGGCTATGGAAAAGAGATATGACAGTTTGTAAAATTGTTTGAATATCTGTAAGTAAATTAAGAAGTTCTAGTAATTATAAAATATCAAATAGGACTTGTAAATTAAGAAATTTTACTCATAAATTATGAATTTAAAATTATAATTGGATGGTAAATACAATTTTAGTCTACTGATTATAAAACACAAAATATATAGGACTTGTGAATTAAAATGTTTTACTCATAAATTATGAAACTATAGTCATAAATGAATGGTAAATACAATTTCAATCTACTATTTATAAAACATGAAATAGAACTTATGAATCAAGAAGTTTTACAGGTAAATTTTGAAGTTACAATTATAAATGAATGGTAAATATAATTTCAATCTACTGTTTATAAATATAAAATAGGACTTGTGAATCAAGAAGTTTTACAAGTAAATTTTGAAGTTACAATTATAAATGAATGGTAAATATAATTTTAATCTACTGTTTATAAAATATAAAATAGGACTTGTGAATCAAGAAGTTTTACTCCTAAATTCTAAAGTTATAGTTTTAAATGAATGGTAATCATTCCACTATTTACAAAACACAAAATAGTACTTATGAATTAATAAGTTCTACTTATAAATTATAAAGTTACAGTTATAAGTAAAATATAAATATACTTTTAGTCTACTGTTTATAAAACACAAAATAAAATTTATGAATTAAGAAGTTTTACTCATAAATTTTGAAGTTATAGTTGTAAATGAATGGTAAATCACTAAAAAAAAAAGTGGATTAGTGACAGAAAATTCCATCACGAATCAATATAAAATCCATTACTAAATGGGTTAGTGATGGAATTAGCAATGAAATAATTCTGTCGGTAAAAACATTGTCACTAATTTGTTAGTGACAAAACTTAAAATTTTGTCACTAATTAGTGACGAAACTAGTGACGAAATTGTAATTCCATCGCTAATTAGTGATGAAAATTTTTTATCACTGAACAAGGATAAGCTATTCCAATTCTATGATAGAATGCATTCCGTTTCTAAATCCATCACAAATGAAAATTCTATAAAAAGTCATCATTGCCACTAGTGGGCTAGTGCCACCTCATCACCATGTCACTGTCACATCGTCGCCACGCCACCATGTAATCTCCACGTCATATATTAACTTTAAATGTGCCTTGGCTAATTTCAAACTCATAACTTCACATCTTTGTGAGCCTTTGCGTCCAACCTTATTGCCAGTTGAACTGAAGGAAATTTTTAGTCTTTAATTGATAAATTAAATATATAATATTTAACTATCCACACACACACATATCAATAAATATATAATTTAAATATATTTTATTTTATTTAACATTATTTTTATTTATCAACAAAATAAATTAAATTTTTATATAATGCTCTTTCTGTTTAAAAATGTAAGGCATTTTTAATCGAATCTCACCCCCAATAAAGTAGTTACCTATTTTCAAACTAACCATATCTTTTTATATTTACCCTTATTAAACACCTTGCAATAAATAGGGGCATTTTTAAAAAAAAGATAATGATTACACCTCAAAAGATTAAAAATACCTTATATTTTTTAATGGAAGGAATACTTATTTTAAATTATATTATAATTTTAAAAATTATTTTTATAAAAAATTTAATATTAAAATGAACAAATACTTTATTATCACTATATATTTGATTATAATTTTTATAATATATAACATTTTATATTTGTAAATTATTTTTTAAAATATTTTTTATTTTAAATAATAATAATTAAGTATGTTACTATGTTATCAAAAAAATAATTAAATATATAATTTAAATTATTACAATCATTATTAATATCTAAATAATTTAAAATAATAAATTATAATTACAAAGGTTTGCGACAAAATTTTCCATCGCAAATGCTATCACACAATGAGAATAATGTATCCTAAAAATTAACGATGGGCATTTCCATCAAAAAATTCCGTCGCTAAATTATTTCTAATGGTTTAGCAATAGAATAGTGACAAAATTTTTAGTGACGGAACATTCCGTCACTAAATGTTGTCGGCAAAATTATTTTTGATGGTTTACTGATAAAATAGCTATTGATTTTTTAGCGACAGTTCCATCACTAAATTTTGTCATTAAATTAGCGACGAAATAAATTTCTATTGCTAAATTCCGTTTCTAATTTGCTGTTAATTTTTTGTAGTGAATTACAATTTTAATTTATTGTTTATAAAACATGAAATAGGAATCATAAATTAATAAGTTCTACTTGTAAACTATGAAGTTACAGTTATAAGTGAATGATAAATATGATTTCATCCTACTATTTACAAAATACAAAATAAGACTTGTGAATTAAGAAGTTTTATCCATAAATTTTGAAGTTACAATTATAAATGAATGATAAATATAATTTTAGTTTACTATTTATAAAACATGAAAAATGACTTATAAATTAAGAAGTTTTACTCATAAATTAAAAAGTTATAGTTGTAAGTGAATAATAAATACAGTTTCAAACTATTATTCCTTCCGTTTCTATTTGTAAGAGAAGCAAAACTTTGTTAGTAAGAAGAAGCCTTTTATTTTCATTTAAATTACATTTTCTTAATTTCTTCCTTCCAATGTTTGGTTTCGTATTCTAGTTTTGTTTTATTAGCGCACCCGTGAGCTAAAGAATTTTTTTCCCCGGAAAGGATTACTTGTCCCGACGATGTTCATGTTGTTCCCTCTTATCATTAATATTTTTAATAAAAAATTGAGTCATAAAATATATATACATATCCATGATTTATTATGTATGCACACATTTCTAGACACATATTTAAATAATATCAAAAGAACTAGTTAATTCAAGTTAAGTTTCAAGTACCAAGTTTTAAAAATTTACAACTTAATCTTTTAATTTTACAATTACATTATGATAAATTTATAATTTATTTTTTAAATTTTAATATGATTGAAGAATAAAAAAATTTATTTTTTCTGTTAAAGTTTGGAATATAAGTTGGAAATTTATCACAATAGAATTATACATTTGATAAAATTTAATACTTGAAATCTAACTTGAATTAATTGATTCTTTTGATACCTCTCTATCATTCTTCCGAAAAGCACAGAAATTTATGATAAAAAATTAACTATTATTTTTTAAATAAAAAATAAAATTCTACAACATACACCAAAATAATAACAAAGTAATGCGGAAGAAAAAATTTGCATCTCTCTCTTTAATAATTCGCTAAAATAAGCAAGAAATAGGAACTTATACTTTCCTTATATTCTTCTGTAATATAAATCCAAGCTAGAAATATTGAAATACAAGGAATTCTATCTATGTGACAAAAAATTAATAAATTAATAAACTTAAAATTTGTTAAACACACATTAATTTCTCTATGGATTATCCATCATGATCATGATCATCATCGTCTATACATATCATCAAGCGGATCTTGGAAGGTGATTTCTGTCAAACATGTCTGCAGAATCAGAGTGAAGTTGCTCATTGCCCAATCTGGCCGTCAAGAAAGCATAAAGCTGCAATCTGCCAAAACATGGAGATGAAATAAAACCAAAGTAAAAATTTGCAGGCATTTGAATCAGAAAATATTTACTAAAATGTGCGTGCTGATGCCTGATAGATCATAGCATATAAAATATTATCCATCATATGAAGTAATAATTACTCTTGGAAGAAAGCAAAGAACAAAACTTACTTTCAAATAGAGTGATTCTCTTTTCTCTTCCATGCATTTTGCGAATCAGATTGGTACTTTTGGCCTAGTCTAGCCACAATGGGAAAAGCAAAAAGATTTCTCAATATATATATATATATATGAGAGAATCATCAAATGACCTTTCAAATCATTTTGGATCGGACACTCACTCGAAGTAGTGGCTGATATTATTGTATCATTATCAATCTGATCTACTTGAAGGTTGACAACTTTTCCCTGACTTCTCCATTGCACTGTATAAAAAAAAAAAAAGCAGATTAATGAAATTAGATAGAAAAAATAAGATATAAACAAAGTTTTAAGATCTCACTCATTCTTTTAAATTATATCTCCTAATGTTAAGTAATTATATCTATTTTCACTTAAAAAAAAACTTAGGATTCTCATGCTTCAGAGAATCCGTAAAAGCTTCAAAAACAATTAGCGGCAAGAAAATAGAAATAGTGCTAGAGAGAGTGATATTCTTATCAATGATCAAAATATGCAAAGAATTAAAGCTTTTTTTTTTTGGGTCTCAAAGAATCATATGAAAGGAAATGTAATGTAAATAAACCTCATTTAAAAAAGGTAAACCTATAGGTTACAACTTTGAAGATGTTAAAGTACTAAAAGCTATAGGTGACGCATTGCATTACCAATGTCTATCATCCCCACATATCATCAAGTTGATCTAGGAAGATGATTTCTGAGAAACAGAACAGGTGTGAAGCTGCTCATTGCCCAAGATAAAACAAAACTTGCTTCTAACTCAAGTGCGATTATTTTTGCCCCTTTTTCTAGCCACAAAGATAAAGATTTATAAGTATATATCAGAAAAGAAAACATGAGAAACAACAATGATCAACCAATGAGCCTTTCAAAACATTTTGGATTGGAAACTCACTTTGTAGTAGTAGCTAATATTCCACTTTTCACTTTAAGAAATTTGAGGATCTTCACAGTTTAGAAATCCATACTTCTTGTTTTGAGGTAAATATTTCAAACACACCTGAAATAAAATAGAAACAGTGTGAAAGAAAAAGTTGATATTTATAGTGCATGATCATGATTTCATTCCTTCTGGTTCGGACAAAGAGGCTTAAATTCAGTTTCTCTTCATTTTGAAGCTTTTATTTAGCATTTTAGGATTATTAGAAAAAAAAATGCAACACATGAATTTCTCCATATATATATATATATATATATATAACACTATAGCTTCATCACAATATTCACCACGTATGAATGCAATGACAAATACAACATGCATTTGAGAAAATGGTAAAGTAGTGAGTGACAAGCAAGCAACGTGCAATTATTGATATTGCATTTTCTTTGCTATATAACACAATATCATTCTCTTCTCTATTAAATTACTATTATATGAAGTTCTTTTCTCAATGCACGGCGCTATACCATTTGATTAGTGTGAAGGGTAGAAGGCAAAATCTGTAAAGCCTGAATATCAGAGAAAATATAATCTTTTTTTGGAAACAAAAGTTAATTAAAATTTTGAAGACAACGAATGCATACATATACATGTCAAGAAAGAACCCTCACTTCTAACCATGTGCAATATTATGTTAATAAATGAAAAATATTCATGAAGAATCATAGACTTTTTTTTTCTCCTTGGAACATTTTATCCAAAAATATCAAAGGAAAAGAAGGGGAATAGAAGCAGAGCAAAAGAAAAAAGGAGCGGATATATACCTTAAGAGTGGTGGAAAGAAACTCCAATAATTGGTCCACTTGTCCTTCATAAACTTAAGTTTGTGAAATACCATCAATATAAATGTGAGGAATGTGAGCAATTTTTGCCCAGTCTTCACCTTTCAGTTTCTGGCACCGTTCCTTAAGCAATGGACAATCTCCCCAAATTTCAAGTCTAGAAACGGAACTAGGGAGGCCCTCCTTGGACAAGCATTGGAGTCTTTGACAATCTTCAAGATTTAATTCTTGGAGAGAGGACAATTGGCAAAGACCCTTATAGTCTAATGTTATGAGATTGGAACATTTACTGATGGCAAGAGTATTAAGAGAAGGTGGAAGCAACTACGGTTTAGGTAGAGACTCCACCACATCATCTGAAATGAACAAGGACTTTAGAAAAGTATGATTGTGCAAACCCAATTCCATTCGACCTACAACAACTTTTGGGCATTTCATGATATGAAGACACCAAAGTTTTGATGGCAAACCCCCCTCTACAAATGATTCCATTTCTGGACAATCATTTATTAATAGACTAGAAAGAGACGGAGTAAAAATGTTCATACAATCATGCAGTGATTTCAAATTCCCTAAATGTTGGAGCCTACACTTTTGTAGCTTAGGGGCAGAAAATCCCCCTTCCTAAAATGATACAATTTTTGGACACTTCACAATTTCCAAGTGTAAAAGTCTTGTTGGGTCATGCATGCTTCCCTCTGAAATAGAAATCATTTCTAGATTATCACACCCTTCAAGATACAGCCACTCAAGTGCAGGGAATAGATCCAAAGCCAAGTTCTTAAGAGACCCACAACTTCTTTCTAATCATATTTTACGAAGTGAGTCATAATGTTGCTGCTATGAGAAATCCAAATTCTGACATTCACAAATGTCCATCTTTTCAATGCAGTTGATAGAAATAATGTGCTCAATCTTTTCAAGCAAACTTGCATTCGTGCATGGTCCATGAAAGCAAAGTTCTTTTAGAGTCGAAGGAATATATTCCAACTGCACATTCTCACATTTTCTAAGAGTCAACCTTTGAATCGTTGGAGCCCATGGAACTAAAGCTATAAGTTCTTGGCAATCTTCAATAATGAGATTTTCTAAACAAGGAAGTTGAGCAGGCAACTTATCTTTCAGCTTTGAACAATTTCTTATAAGAAGCTTTTTAAGGTAAGGGAAGGCTCTTGAAGCAGTTGGACAATCCCATCCCTCCCAATTCAACATTTTCTCAAACTTCAATATTTCAAGAGATCTAAACGAAACAACAATACTTCCATGAAATTCAACACCTATAGATACAATGCCATCCAACCCTTGAATGGACAATGACTTAAGAGACGGCAAAAGACCCAATGATGGCAAATAATAACAATATCTGCAATATTGCAATGAGAGTGACACTATATTGAACAACGTGTTATCAAAAAACCAATCTGGAAACCTTGTACCACCGCAGTAGTTGATTGATAGTTTCTTCAAGTTTTGGTGAGGTTGGAGTTTTTCTAGCACATCCCTTTCATTTTGGAAATCATCATTATTATTTTTACTCCATTGCAAGCTTAACTCCTCAAGGTATTTTTTACCTTTCAAGTTTGTAGCTAAGGCATCCAATCCATGAACTACATTCTGCAGCCCACAAATAGAAAGTTTTCTTCAAAGATTGAGTTCACCTAACTGTTTAATGCTAGATTTAGTACACTTGCCCACATAAAATGGCGTTAAAAGAACTAGGAGATTTTTCAACTCTCCCAACTTTGGTGGAATCTTTTTTAATATGTTGTCTTGTAAGTCCAGATGACGTAGACATCTTAATTTATGCAAATCCGAAGGTAGCTCTTCCAAATATGCACAACTGTTCAGCTTTAATGTTTGTAGATTACACAGAAGACATATTGCCTCAGGTAGTCTCTTTATTCTGCTACAGGATAGGTCAAGGTACCATAAATGTATGAGATTTCTTATGGAATCAGGTAACTCCACAACATAAATATTGTTACATAGAGATAAAAATCGCAAACATTTACACTTTGACAATTGATCAAGTGTTATGTTGCTCCAAGTCCAACTAAAATATTGATAAGATCCAAGAGGCATGAATGTTCGTAGTTTTCTAATTTTGTGTAGGTACCCAAATTGTATGAATTTATTATACCCTGGCACTAAAAAGATAAGTGACGAGTTTTTTCTGAAATATTCAGCACTCCTTCATCCTCTTGCCTTGAACAAAATTCTCCATATACAAAATTTCTCAAATCATTAAGAAGGTCATGCATAACAAAATGTGTTTCGTTTTGCATGGATTTTTGAAAAAAGACCTTGACACAAGTTCTTGGAAGCATTCATTGCCTACCTCTTTGATTGCCATATCCGGGTGTGAGACTTATAAGAAATCTTGAGCCATCCATAATAAAACTAACTCCTCCTTATTAAATTCATAATCTTTGGGGTATAATGAACAATAAGCAAAGCATCGCTTAAGATGAGAGGGCAGATGATGATAGCTCAATACCAAAGCAGGAAGAATATTTTTATATGAAATGTTCCATATCTCACTTGACAAAATGACATTCCATTCCTCCCAAGATAATTTCTTGTACAAGAGACTACCGATTGTTTTCAAGGCCAAAGGCAAGCCTTTGCACTTCTTAACAATCCTTCTACCAATTTCTTCAAGATGAACAATATTTGTTTAAGGATAGTAGTTGCGAAATGCATATTTAGTAAATAACATCCAACCATCTTCATCTGATAATTGACACGGGTGGTGTATTTGATCTGAGTGGGCAGCCAAAGCAACATTTTTATTATGTGAAGTGACAAGAATTCTACTTCCTATAGCCCCATCAATGAAAGGTGCTCGAAGAGCTTCTAATGATATATCATCTTCGCACTAAACATCATCAAGAACAATGAGGAATTTCTTCCTAGTGAACTTCTCCTTTAACTTATTTTGAAGCATATTTAAATCTTCTGTGTCATCATTAGATACCACTATTACCTTGAAAATAATTTTTGTTAGCCTCAGAACATCAAAGTCATCAAAAACACATACCCAAACTCTGACGTCAAATCCACTCTTCACTCGTAGATCATTATAGACCTTATAGTTTCATGTCCATATGATGATTCCCCATTCAATTCTCAAAAATGGTATTTGTAAAATGAACTTTATCAATTACCAATTTTCAATGTTTAACGTAGCGAGGTATCTATCTTCAAGCTGTAGTTTGTTAATGTGGATTGATTAATTATGTTGTGGGACTTGATTCACTTAAACTCTATTCAATGCCTAAAATTGACATCAATGTTTGGCTTCTTAATTGAAAAGGAGAAAAACTCAGTATTTAAAGTAATAAAGAAAAATGATGACCAATATATTTAATTTTTATTTCTTTCCTAGCTACTTTTATTGTTTTGTACTGTTTTTAGATCATTGGCTCTAATTTTAGACCTGCTTTTCTTCATTAATTTTCTTTTTCCGGGTTAAAGCTTTTCTTCATTAATGAAAAACAAAACTTTGTGAGTAAGAAGCCTC